ATGCTGCTCACCCCAGCGACGATGACGGCGCTCTCGCGTCGGCGATGGACGTTTTGGATGGGGTTCGACATGCGTGCGCAGCCGACGCGCGAAAGTGGTCCGCGTGGAATTATTCGACAAACATCGCGCCCCCTCCGCCCACCCCCCCTCGGCATGCGCGCATGGCGCTCGAATAATTTCGGCGCGCGGCGCGAAGGGCTCGTTTGGCAGAGTGTCATAGACATGGTGTAGAAAAATCTAGAGGATTCGCAGGGGCGCGAAGGCGCGCTTGCGCAACAACACTGACGTCGCAAAACCATATGATTTGACATGTTCTCCGGGAACTCAATTTTAAGCACGGAACATGTTTGAAAGATTTCGGCGCGCGCGTGCGCGCGCACGTCGGCGCGCCCTATTTGTTGCAGTGGGTTCCTGGGACAGCACGCGCGCAATGACGCCCCGCGGGGGAGGTCCGTTTTGGAACAAGTTGTGGACACACCGGAAAACCGACGGTTCCCTTCCGAATCTGCACGAACGCAAGCGCAAACTGTTGTTGAAAAGCGCGTGGGCGACAACGCGCGCGCGTGCATATCGCCCTGTCTGTTGCAAAAGATCTTGGGGAACTGATGGCGTTTGATAAACGAACGCGCGCACATATTTTTTTAATAAGATAATCAAAATACAAGGGGAAAACGGGGGACGGATTCCGGCCTGCCTGGGACTGAATGAACTCATATTCAAAATGGGCAACGGGGCAAAACCATATGAAAATTGCAGCAGCACGAAAAAAGGGAACCGTTAACCCCACGGTGCGGGGGGGGAGGAGGGCGGGGTAGATCCGACTGCTGTTTTGAATGGACAATCAACGCGGCGCAATTCACAGAAGCCCGCAGTGAGTTGACAACTCCACTGCTCGCGCAATCATCCCAGTCATCCACCCGCACTTGGGTTTGCAACGCCCATGCGGCGGCACTTGCGATGACTGCTTAGCATTGGCGGGTGCGTCTCTGCGGCCGCGCTGGCCCTTGCCGGCTCGCGCGCGCAGCGGCCAGCTAGTGCGGCGCGACCGCCGCGGCCGCGGTGGCGCTGACCGCAGGGCATTTCCAGCGGGCACTTGAGTGCCAGTCGGTGACTGGGGCGGGCGCGGTATGATGGCGACGCCGACAACGGTAGACGCGATGATGAGAATAGCGACGATGGTGACGACAGTGGCGATGACGACGGCAAACCCAATAACGGCACCGATATTGATCACGACCGCCGATGACGACGACGGCGTCCTCGCGTCGGTATGAAGGTTTCGGGGGGAGTTCGGCATGCGAGCGCTGCCGACGCACGCGAGTGGCCCGCGTGGCAATATTTGGCACGGATCGTCCCCCCCCGCACGCGCGCAACGACGTTAGGGTGAGTTCGACATGCGGCGCGGGAGGCCCTTTTGGCAGGAATGGATGACAATGCTGAACAACAAAATCCATGGGGTTCTCAAGGATTCGCAATGGCGCGCGCGCAAGTTTCTTTGACAACTGGTGTTGTAAAACCATGTGTTTGTATGTGTTCGAGACACTCGTGCTTGAACCCCCCCACGACAGTAAGGTTTAAATGGATAGTGGAAAAACATGCATGCGCGCGCGACGACGCGTGCGCGTGCACTTCGTCCCGCCGTTTGCAAAGGATTATTACAACAGCGGGCGCGCAAGGGCATTCGAACGATTTCGACATGCGCGCGCGGGAGGCGCGTGTGATAGCAAACATACGATTTCCTTGAGAATCTGCAGGGGCGCGATCGCAATCTTTTGTTGTTGAAAACTGTGTGACGCTCAATGTTGAAACCCATACGAAACCTAAGGTTTTGGACTGGTTTCGGCACGCGCGCGTGTTGACGCGCGCGCGTGAATATCGTCATATATGCTGCAAGGGGTCCCTGGCAACTGATGATTTTGTACAAACAAGGCCGCGCGCATAGCAACTTCTGCAAAGGATGAGGGGAGATCGATACTGGCCTAGCTGGGATGGTATGGTACCATTGGTACGAACTCCCACTTCGGATGGACGATGGGGCAGAATCGCATACAAATTGCAATGCGAAAGGGGGCGGTTAAATCCATGGGGGGGGGTCAGATCCTACTACTTCTTGAACAGGGAAAACTATGCTGTACAAGGCGACGATGGGGCGGCGACGGCGACAAGACTGCCAGACAGGCCCAGACGACGGGCGGCGACGAGGCGGCGACGGGGCGGCGACGGCAACAACATAGCCGCCAGACCGCCAGACAAGCCCAAACGACGGGCGGCGACGAGGTAGCGACGGCGACAACACAGCCGCAAGACCGCCAGACAGGCCTGGATCCATAAAAGAGCAATCATAAACTATAAGTGCAAGCAGACACTGTCTGGGGACAGTGAGCTGGACCCGCCCAACTTAAGCCCAGGACTAGGCTGGAGTGAGCCTGACTAGCCACGATTGAATCAGAATGAACGGGAGTATGCTGGAAAAGGCCAACCAACGATATACCAGCGCCGATGCTGAATTTGAGCTCCCCGGAGCTGCATCCCAAGGAAAGGGCGAGGGGGAGTAACAAAGGAGAATCGAAATTTCTGGGTGAGGTCGGCCCTCCTCTGCTCAAAAAACCTGTGGAGACCTCACGGGACCTCCGCTGTCGTCGGCGTCGTCGTCGAAATCGTCGTCGGCGTCGGCGTCGGCGTCGGTCGTCGTCGACGTCGGCGTCGGCGTCGGCGTCAGCGTCGGCGTCCTCGTCGGCGGCGGCGGCGTCGTCGTCGTCGTCGTTCTCCTCCTGCTCCTCCTCCTCCTCCTCCTCCTCCTCCTCCTCCTCCTCCTCCTCCTCCTCCTCCTCCTCCCCCTCCCCCCCGCTCCCCTGGGACGGCCCCCGTAAGCGGGGTCCCCTTCCCAGGGAGGGCAGCCAGGTCCCGGGGCCTCCCCCAGGGCTGCACAGGGACTCTCCCCCTGCAATCGCCGCCTTGGGGGCGGGACTGGCTGTCCGTCTTCCCTGCCGTGTCGTCGCTCGTCGCCGGCGTCGCCGTCGTGTCGTCGGCCACGGGGGTCCGTTTCCCCGGTTTTTTGCCCGTGTCCAGACCCCCGACGTCATGATTTTTTCATGACGCGACCCCCAGAGGTCCGGACCCATTCCCCGGGACCGGCTTTTCATCCCGAGTCGTTTTTTGACGGTCCTGAGGGCCGGTAAGGGCCCCCGGAGGCCGAAAATAGCGAAAAACCTTCCGTCGTGATTTTTTCATGACTCGAGGAGGTCTGGGTGTCCCTTGGGTGTGCGGGTGGCCCTGCCTGTGGGGGGCGGCTTCCGCTCGGGCGAGGCTCCCGCCTGCCTGTGGGGCGCGGCCCTTTTCCCCCGTCTTGCACGGGCGGGCTCGCCCCCCGCCCGCGTGGGCGGGGCGCCGCGGCCGCGCCGCGCGGCCGTGCGCGACACGGTGTGGGCTGCCGCGCGCTGTGGAAAAAAAACATCCTCCTCCTCCTGCCCGTCCTCCCCCTCCTCCCCCTCCTCCCCCTCCTCCCCCTCCTCCTCCTCCTCCCCCTCCTCCTCCCCCTCCTCCTCCTCCCCTCCTTCCTCCCCCTCCTCCCCCCTCCTCACCCTCCTCCCCCTCCTCCTCCTCCTCCTCCTCCTCCGCCTCCTCCTCCAGCCCTGTTCCTTCTCAAAGACTCCTCCCTGTCGCACCCGAGGCCGGTCGAAAGGACGGGCTGGGGTTCCGCCTGCGACTTCTTCACCATGTATTGTGACCCCGAAGCTTCTAAACATGGATCGCACTTTCACGCATGGAGGGCGGGTCGTTTTCAAAATGAGGCTCTCGCCCTAGCGCCGCGCCCTTCCGTTCTAGAACTCTGCCGGAACGTCACGGATTGATAGCGGTCCTGTTCAACATGTGGCTCTCGCGAAGCGCCGCGCACAGTCGTCTTAAGCATTACAGAGAGCTCCACGGTTGGAGGGCGGGTGGCTTTCAACATGTGGCTCACGCCTCCGCGCACATTCGTTTCAAACATTTGCGAACAAAAACACTGATGGAGGGCGGCCCGTTTTCAACATGTGGTTTTCGCCCTGGCGCCGAGCACGTTCGTTTTGGAGGTTTGCAAGAGTTTCGCGACTTGCCCATTCGCAAAAGTGCTGCAAACCTCTCAAAGGAACCGACGCCAATTCGGAATTGACGGCGGCTCGTGTTCAAAATGCTGCCCTAGCCTGAAACGCCGCGAGCATTTGCTTTAAAATGTTGCCAGAGGTTCACGGATTCCCGTAGTCAACGTGCCAAAAAGGATGTTTTGGAAGAACTCCGGATTGCGAGGGCGCGACAATTATGTTGATTCGTGGTGTTGAAGTCACAAGGATGATGGATTGGCACGAATCTGGATCGCCAAAATGCAACAATCATGTTGATAGGAGTCCCGAACATGGTGCTGTAGCACGCTTCAGGGTCTTCAAACGGTTGTCTCCCAACGAGGCAGATCCCCCAGTCGAAATGAGCCCTTCTATGGGGCCTATGAAGTAGGAGGAGTTATTCCAGCATCGTTGATGAGTCTTTGGTTTGCACTGGTCCTCCTCCTTCTCGTCCTCCTCCTCCTCCCCGTCCCTCTCCTCCTCCTTCCCTCCCTCCCCTCCCTGCCGGAGCAGCAGGGAAGGCGGGGGAGGAGGCAAAACATCTCAGAAGGGAAGGCGGGGGAGGAGGCAAAACATCTCAGCCATCACCGTGGTGCCAGCTGTCCTGCTTTAGGCTCGGACCACGATATTTTAAAAGCCCGAAAGAGGTACGGACAAAATTGTCAGAATGCCCAAAAGCAGATGTTGTCCAAAAGCGACAGCGGCGGCTGTTGGGCAGGCAGTTTTTTGCCTTCAGTGTGCAAGGTCCGCGACGGCGCGGACAGCGAGTCCTGTTCAACAGGAGCAGCAAGTGCTGTTGGGCATCGTACCCATGATGTCCGTACCCATACCGATCGTCCCGAGACATGCAGGTTCCGCCGCAGGCCCTCACCGCCGGCGTCTTGCGCCGAACCCGCGCCGTTCTCAGGCCCCCGCGGAAGTCAGCGCGGCAGCCGCCCCGGCCACCTCGTCCACGGACGGCTCCTGGGGGAGCTCAAAGGTCCCCGCACCGCTGGTCCCGTCGACCTCTCCTGCGGTGCTCTCTGACCAGATGTTCGAAGGCGACTCCGGCCTTGGCGCCGAGAGCTCTCCAGGACGAACAGCGGCATCGGCACCTTTTTGCTCCCCTGGGCTCCGCCGCAACTCGCCGGGCGGCCTTCAGGCGGGTGTAGTTTGCCGCAACCTGCTTGAAGAGGGTCGCCTCCTCGTCCGTGCCAGCCCTCTTCACCTTCACGAAGCCGGTGGCCCCGAGCGCCTCGCGCGCCTGGCTCGTGGCAGAGCACCACATCCTCCAGTGTTCGATCCAGCCACTGAGGGTGCCCAGCTTCCTGCAGTGGACGCTCCTCTTCTTGGAGACGATCCGCCCCGAGGCACTCACGCAGAGGTCCTTCTTCTCAATGCCGTGCTTCGTCTTCTTGAACCTGCCCTGCCAGATCGCGCGGTACATGTACGCACGGCTGCGGAAGTCCTTCAGGTAGGCGCAAATCCTCGTCTTGCCGCGGCGGGCCTTGCCGAAGTCCCCGCCGATGGCGGGCCCCCTCAGAGCCTTCGTTTTCGCGGGGTCGTCCAAACGCATGGCGCCGCGATCGTCCATGTTCAGGACGAGCTGCTTTGCGTCCTCCCCCGCGTGTCCCGTGTGCTTGACGTCCTCTGTGGGGTAGATGATGTTAGCTAACGTGGACCCCGAACAGAGCGCTAATACACCGTCGAGGTGAACGAAATGCGGTGTAAAATACGTATCGCTGCGTGGTGTGATCGGCGAAGGTAGATCTGTATGTTTTGAAATATGGTGGTGTAAGCTATGCAGTGTACGCTAAGCGATGAGGCCAGGAGGCGAAAGTTATGAGGTGCAAACTATGTGGCATATAGTCTGTTATGTAGTCTATGAGGTGTGCGTAATGTGGTATGAACTGTGTGGTGGAAAGTATGCCGTGTACGCTTCGGGCACGAGACTTAAGTCGGGCCTGTCCCCCTACAGGGGGGATTTGGACAAACAATAGAAAATAGTCAAAACAGATTCACAACACTGCTCATATGTAGCCAAAAAATCGTTCCCCGACTATTGTTATGGTATGTTTGCAGATTCCCTCCTGTAGAGGGACAGGCCCGACATAGCACTAGACGCCCACGAGACGCCACCGAGGCGGCCAGGGGTGGAAACGAAGGGCCAGCCCGATAATATGCCCCCCAAGCGCGAGGGCGCCCACGAGACGGTACGTGCGGCAACACATGGCGCACGCCTGGCATACTCCATAAGTTTTGTTGTTGTCAACGCCAGGCTCGAGTTGGCCAGCCCAGAGTGCTCATTTGAAGCTCCTCACACTTCTTATCCGAAGCGGCCGCTCCCAGACATGGCTGACGAATTGCGGGCAAACAAAGGCAAACCAATAAAAGAGCGCTGAGCGGACTCTTTATGGCATGACCAAGTCGGGGTGGCCAGTCAAGTATGGCGCGCCTACGAGGCGCCCACGAGGCGGCAACGTGGCGCAAATCTGACATACCCCACCACTCAGCTGAGAAAGCTAGGGAGAGGCCCCACAATGCGAAGACACTGCCTCGGAGAAGCAAAGACCACCAACCGTGCCGCCGCTCACCGGACCTCCTGCCGAGGTGCCGTCAGACCTGGATGATCTTAGGGGAACAATGAAGGGGCCGCAGGACACAAATAAATACACACAAATAAAAATATTCCCCATATTTTCACATATGTTTTGGGTTTTTGTCTTCCCCCCACTTCCCATATTTTTGCATATTTTCCTGGGAGTCGACGATTAATTGTGTCTGTGTGTTTCTTTCCCTCCTGAAGCAAGAGGTCGCATAAACATAGAAACCCGGAGGTCCGCGCGGATTCCTCGGATCGGCGCTGGACCCCCCTCCCTGGCGCGCGGAGCGCGCCAGGGGCGGCGCCGGAGGCGCCGCCGGGGGGGCCCCAGCGCCGATCCGAGAAATCCGCGCGAACCTTCTGTCACTTTCTATGTTTATGCCACTCTTGTGTTTTTTAAGTTGATACCGCTTTTTGTCCCTTGATCGCGTTTTACTGGATCGTGTTTTTTCGGCTACTCTTCTAGCGAGACCCGAGAAGTCCCCGAGTTTTGATGCTTGTGCCACTGCTTGTTCCCGGCGAGGGCCAGCAGCGGCGACGGGGGGCGGGCAGCACCAAAAAAAGGGGCAGGCCCCCCGCGGGCGACGCGCCCGCGAGCGGCAACGGCCCAGGGCCACACACGGCGGGCGCAGCCCCGCGACAGTGAACACACACACACACACAGACACAAATAACAGGATGCCCCATAGCTTCCCATATTCTCTGGGCTTCTGTCGTCCCCCCCCCCCTTTTTCCCATATTTTCCCAGATTTCCCTGGGAGTCGACAGTTCATTGTGTCTGTGTGTGTGTGTTTTCCGTCCGGAGACAACTGCGGCCGCAGATCCCCCCCCCCGAAAACAGATGGGGTTCGCCATTCTTGAAGGAAGGTTCGGAATTGTTTTGAAGTCGTCTCCACTATATTTTCCTGATGGTTCAATGCCTTGGTTCCCAGCCCCGAGGCGCGATCCGTGAGAGGGGTGCGCGAAAACTGGCCCGTGGACGTCGGCTCGAGGCCCTGGCGTCCGCCGCCCGATGAAGGCTCGAGCAACTTGCCTCCGGCCCCCGAGGCGCGATCTGCGCGAGGAGCGCGCCAAACTGTGCCAATGGCTGCCGGCTCCGGGCCCAGGTGTCGACCGCTGGCCGCCGCTGGCCGCCGCCCACCGTCCGCCAGCGGACGGCCACCGTCGCTCCTCACGCGCTGCCACGTGGTGACTGGGAGCGGACTGGGAGTTGTCCCGCCCAGGCGTTGCCACGCGACGAGGAAGAGTAAGAACCGACGCGCCCCGCTGCGAGGCCGCGTGGCGACCAGCATGGAGTGGTACCGTGGCACCCAGCAGATGCGAGACTGCGGAGAAGCTCGCCGCAGGCGCCAAAGCTTCACAACGGGTGGGTCGCGGGTTGGGTCGCGGGGTGGGTCGCGGGGTGGGTCGCGGGTTGGGTCGCGGGTGGGGTCGCGGGGTGGGTCACGGTTGGGTCGCGGGTGGGACAACGACAACAACCAACAACAACAACAACAACAACAACAACAACAACAACAACAACAACAACAACAACAGCAGCAGCAGCAGCAGCAGCAGCAACAACAACAACAACAACAGCAACAACAACAACAACAACAACATCATCAACAACAACAACACCACCAACAACAAGAACAATACCAAGAACAACAACAACAGCAACAGCAACACCAACAACGCGACAACGCAACAACGCAACACATATAATCCTCACCACGGATCCCCACTTCAGCCACGCACCCAGGAACAACGAATGACTGTCCGGCCCCCTAACTCTGATCTCTCTCGCCCCCCCACACGGCCATGTCAAGGCGTTGTCACTTGGCGAGTTGAGTAGAACGATCTGTTCTCCGTCCCGCTGCGATGCCACGCGTTGAGTATAAAAGAATCGTATCGTTTCGCGCCTCAGGCGTTGCCACGTGGCGAATGGGGTTCCGCCCCGTCGCGTTGCCACGTGGCGAGTCAGTGTCAGATTGGTTCCTGCTCCTCCTGTTGCACTGTAGCAAATGAAGTGTAGCATTTCGTGTCCCCCCTGGACGGCGCCAGGTGACGAGAATAATGGAATAGTCACACCGATTTGTTGCCTGAGAACGTACAATAAATCATTCATGCCCTATTCCCTCTTCCAACTGTTCCTTCTGACCGTTTGACATGTTCACAACCTCCAAGAGGTATTCCGTGACATGTTCATTGTGCCGTTGTAAAGTCATTGTGCCATAAAGGTTACCTGAGTTCCCCATCATGGACAAGTCCTTTCCAGGAGATTTAACACCACCCCCTCCCTGAGGTTTTCTGGGGGGTTCGCGACGCGTTAGGGCGCCTGGTGACTTCAAGAGGGCCCCCGATGCTCCAAGATGGCCTCCGAGATGGCTCAAGACAGCCGACGGTACTTCAATATAGCTTTCGACATACCTCCAAGAGGCCCGACAGTGGGCACATGACTGTACCTCCAAGTGCTCCCGAAGCCTCCTCACGACCCACCGAAGAGGCGAAAATCTTACAAAAACCGGATGGCAACAAAAACAATGATGTTTGCCTTATCACCGTTTGCTTCGCATGCGCCTTCGAAGCGAAATGGCCCAAATATTGCCCGCGAGAGGCCGCAAAGGGGCCCACGAAGCCGCGGCCCCAAGAAGGCCCCAAGACCGCCCCGTGGTGATTGATTATGATAGTCCCGGGTGGGGGAGGGGGGCGGGCGCCAAATAGGCCTTTTGATTGATGCCCCCCAAGATGGCCCCAAGTGGCCCTGCAAGGCTCCCAACAAACCCTCTAACAGGGCTCTGGGAGGGCCACAACAAGGCCCCAAGACCCTCCAAAAGAGCCCCAAGAGGAACCCAAGATCCCCCAAAAGGGTCCCAAGAAGGGTTCCCTGAGGCGAGTTGAGGGTTCTGTCCTCGTCCTCATCCTCCTCCTCGTCCTCGTCCTCGTCCTCCTCCTCTTTCTCCTCCTCGTCCTTGCCCTCATCGTTTTCCTTTTCCTTGTCCTCCTGTTCCTCGTCGAGATCATCGACGTCGTCTCCTCCACCTCCTCCTCCTGCTCCTCCTCCTTTACCTCCTCCTCCTCCTCGTCCTTCCCTCGCGTGGGAGAACCCGGAACGCTGGCCAAACAGTCCAAACATGACGCGCCGAACCGTTCCCACACCGCGCCGTCATACACCCGCCCAGCCGACCCAACCCTGGCCAGACAAACCAACTGACCAACCAGCCCAAATAATAATGCTCCGAGCGATCCCCACCGAAACCTTGGCCCCCTGTCCTCCTCCTCCTGCCCCATGCCTCCTTCCCCTCCCCCTTCTTCCCCCTCCCATCCTTAGGCTGAGGGGCGCAAGCGAGGACGCCCGCGGCGGCGCGGGGCGGGGATTCTCGGGACAACTGGGGGTCTGGCCTGATGTTGGTCTGCTCTGTGATATTCTCGAGTGCTCTGGTGTGGTTTGTTCCGTGGTGTTCTGTGGTTCTCTGTTATGTGCCGTTCTGGTTTGGTTTGTTATGCGATGTTCTGGCGTGCTCTGCTCTTTCATGCTATGCATTGTTTTGTCGCGGCATGTCAGGCCCTGGTATGTTCTGTCGTGTTATGTGTGCAATGTTGTGCTGTTCTGTCATGATGTGATCTGGGATGTTCTGTGAGGTTATGTCATGATTGGTGTTGTAATGATACTGCCGTGGTATGTTCCGTGGTGTTATGTCATTGTCGCGTTTTGTTATGTGACTTTGTGACATGTTGTGGTAGATCGTGTTCGTCGCCATGCTCTGTTGTTGTGCCATGTTATGTCCTGCACACTGTATCATAATATGATATGGTGCGTCAATGCGTGTTCTGTTATGATCCATTGTGTTATGGTATGGTGTATCATGTTGCTTTCTGTTTTGTAATGTTAAGCCCGGATATGCTTTGTGATATTATAAGATGATGTATCCTGCCATGGTGTTCCCATGTTATGTTTGTTCATGCTCTGTCGTGTAATGGTGTGTTGTTTCGGGTTTGCTGAGGGCGCGGCTCGGGGAATCTCGGGACAACTGGGGGTCTGGCCTGGCTTTGGTGTGTTGTGTGATCTTCTCTAGTGCTCTGGTGTGGTTTGTTCTGTGATGTTCTGTGGTTCTCTGTTATATGACATTCGGCTCTGGTTTGCTATGTGATGTTCTGGTGTGCTCTGTTCTTTCATGCTATGGGTTTGTTTTGTCATGCTCTGGCATGCTCGGCTCTGTTCTGTCGTGTGCTGTCTGCTATGCTGGTCTGTTATGGCATCATACGCTCTGGCATGTTCTGCGACAATATGTCATGCTATGATGTGTAATGGTACTGCCATGTTATTTTCCGTCATGATATGGCATGGTTGTAGTTTATCCAATTACATTATTTTGTGGCACGTTGTGTTCTGTCGTGTTAGTCGCTGTGCTCTGTTGTCGTGTTATGATATGATCTGAACGCTGTGTCATGATATGATATGTCCCGCCAATGTGCGTTATGGGATGATCAATTATGTTATGTTCGTGTGTGCTCTGTCGTTTTCTGGTATGTAATGCTCTGCCCGGGTAGGTTTTGTGATTATATAGTATGCTCTATGTTATCAGTATGTTGCTATGTCATGTTATGTCATATTATGTTGTGTAATGTTGTGTTGTTTCGTGTTTGTCGAGGGCGCGAGACGGGACTCCCAGGGACACTCGAGGACTCTCGGGGACACTCGGGGACTCTCGGGAAAACTTGGGGTCTGGCGGCTGCGGTATGCAGCCGTGTTTGTCGAGTGCGAGGGGGCTGGATTCCCAGGGACTCGGGGATACTTGGGGATTTTCGGGACAACTTGGGGTCTGGCGGCCGCGGTATGCAGGGTGCGGTTGGCTGGGGGGCCTGTTCTTGAAATCTAACAAACCCAACTTGTCGGGTGGGGAACAACCGCAAAGACCCGCCCAAACAACGGACCAACCGGCCAACCAACCAACCAAACGATCAACCAAACAACCAACCAACCAACCAACCGGGTAACCAACCGCCCAACCGGCCAACCCAACGAACCAACAAACCAACAAAACAACTGGGCAACCAGGCAACAAGGCAACTGGCAACCCAGCCACTCAACCAACCGACCGTTTCACTTCCTTTTCTAATTCCAACACATGTGTATGACAAGCTGAAACAGTTGATTGAAACAACAACAAATTTTCAAACCATCATGAATCGTCACTTGAACCCTCAGAGATGCTACTGATTATGCTGCCTCTGAGAAGCGAGAATTCACCACTCAGTTTTGCAGGGCGGGGCTCTATAGAGGCACCCCGAATGTGTTTTGAGCAGGTGGGGTCGGAGGATCGCCCCGCGTCGCCGATGCATCGGCGATGCCTGCAGAGTGTTGGCGCCCTCGGCGCGCAAAAAATCAGCCCCCCATTCGAGCTGCATCGCTAAAAGCATCGGCGGTGCGACGCGACCCTCCGACACCAAAGGTCCCGTACAGTCGAGGCGTTGACCTAAGGAACCCTGAATAAGGAACGAGGCCCCTATTTTCCACAAGTGAACCTTCGATTTCAGATCGGAAACCTAAGGAAAACCTAAGGCAAGCTGCGAAACAATTAAGGAACACGGAGCCCCTCCCCGAGGAAAAGGGTTCCTTCTTCAGCGCCCCGACTGCATTGACCTTTTCAACGCGGGGCTATCCGGACTCCCGACCCCTTCCCCGGGGCCGGCTCCCCGCCACGAGCCGCTGCTGCTCGCCCCCACGGCCGTGCCCCTGGAGGCCGAGAACGGCCCAGACCTCCACTGACCCAGCTCGAGAAGCCAGGCGGTGCGGGCACGGCAAATTCGTGCCGCGCTGACCCTGGCGTTCTGTCGGGCGTGTCCCCCATACAAGGGGATTTTCCACGAAAAAACAAACAAATACCCGAAAAATGCCCCAAGAGGGTCAAAAAATATTCCAAACATAGTCCCCAGACTATTTTTGGGACTATGTTTGGAGCATTTTCGGGGTACTGCTTATTTTTCGTCGAAAATTCCCCTGTAGGGGGACAGGCCCGACTTAACACTGGCGTTGGTCGCTGACTCTGCGTGCGCAGCTCCACCTCGAACGATCGGCGGCTCTGCGATCGCCGCAAAACTTGGGTCTGGCCGGTCCTGGGCCACTGGCGGCTTCCGACCTGGAAAACCCGCCGCGGGTGCGCCGCCACGCGGGCACGACGCGCCACGAGGCAGCCCTCTGCTTTTCGGCGAGAAGCCCGGGGAGACGGTGGCGACGACGATTCTCACGACGCCGAGGACAAACGACGATCACGACGACCGCGACGATCACGAAGGCGAGGAGGGGGAGGACGGGCACTCCCGGCCGAAAGTTTCGTGGGGGGGCGGGCGTGCAGCACGAACGACCCTCTGCGAGGATCCGGCGGGGGGAGGTGCTGGCCGACAACGCCTCGCTCCGGGCAGCCCCACGTGGGGCCCGCACGCACTGGTCCCGTGCATCCCCCATGGGACCTGCGCAAGCGACACTGTCAGGCTACCCGCGCGGGGCTCCTCCTCCTCCTCTTCCTCCCTCCTCCTCCTCCTCCTCCTCCTCCTCCTCCTCCTCCTCCTCCTCCTCTTCCTCTTCCTCCTCCTCCTGCTCCCAGCCAAATCGCCCCCCCATGGCGCAACGCCCGACTCTTTCCGCTCCCCCGATCCTCTGGGGAGCTCGCGTTGGACTCCTTGGCGCGGACAAGCGGGCCCGCTTTGGCCTCCTTGGCCTGGACGAGCGGCGCGCGGGGCGCCGATGGGCTGGGCCCATCCGCCGCCAGGGCCTCCGCCTTCACGGCGGGGGACTCGCTCTTGTGCGCGCCCCGCGCCGCGCGCCCCGCGCCCCTCTTGCTGCCGCTGGGCATGGCGGAAGGAGGCAAGGAGGACGCCAAGCATACACCTGCCCTCAGATCCTGGCGTCGCAAAGGTTTCACAACGGGCGATGTCGCACGGCGTCGGGGCCTGGGACTCTCACAGATCGATCCGCCTCGAAACATGACGCAGAAAAATGTGGTCTAGGGCTCCGGTCGTCATTGGTTACGATGCTGCATGTTCTGGTCAACGTCAGGTCTGAGGGTAACCACCGCTCCAGGTCAGGCTCATCCTGGGCCCAGGATCGGTGTACCCACCCAGACCCTCCACGTCATGATCTTCCATAACGCCGACCTTCATAGGTCTCGACCCGTGCCCCTGGACCAGGTTTCCATCCTGAGTCGTTTGTTTGACGGCCCCGAAGGCCAGCAAAGGGCCTTCCGAGGCCGAACGTCAGGAAAAGCCTCCCATCATGAGATTTTCCATTACCCGAGGGAGTCTGGGTATGCGCCCTCCCGGCGTCGGCACGGAGGCACGTGGACCGCTCCAGGGCCCAGGGCCGGCAGGGCCAGGATCGGCGGAGGTGTCTGTAGCTTTTGCGCCCTCCGAAGAAGGCGGCGTCGGCGGGGGTGGCTAAAGTCAAGGCCTCCTGGATGGGGTCGGAGTAGAGGAGGAGGAGGGAGGAGGAGGGAGGGAGGAGGAGGAGGAGGAGGAGGAGGAGGAGGAAGATGAGGAAGACGAGGAGGAGAAAGAGGAGGAGGAGGAGGAGGAGGAGGAGGAGGAGGAGAGGAGGAGGGAGGAAGGGAGGGGAGGAGGAGGAGGAGGAGGAGGAAGAGGAGGAGGAGGGAGGAGGAGGAGGAAGGAGGAGGAGGAAGGGGAGGAGGAGGAGGAGGAGGAGGAGGAGGAGGAGGAAGAGGAGAAGGAGGAGGAGGAGGAGGAGGAGGGTGGGGTCGGAGGATCGCGCCGCATGGCCGATACATCAGCGATGTATCGGCGATGCACGGGTGCTGCAACGTCGACATCGGCGGTATATCGGCGACGTCGACGTGAAGCAGAACGGGCTCAACATCGAGCCGCATCGGCGATGCGTCGGCGATGCGGCGCGATCATCCGACCCCATCTACTTCGACCCCATCTGGGAGGCCTAAATATTAAGGAGGGGCTCGAAGTATATCACCAAGTCGCCTTGTCAGCTCCTGGGAGTTCTGTGTATATCTAGACGCCCGAAGCCTCCCAACCCTGCGGGATGCCCATACCCCAGGCGTCGTAATGTCTTCACGACGTGCCCCATCGGCGGTCTGGACCCTTCCATGGGATAAGTTTTTCATCCGCAGTCGTTCTGTTGACGGTCCCGAAGCCTGGGGAAGGGCCCCGGGAGGCCGAAAGTAGCGAAAAGCCTCCCGTCGTGAGTTTTGCTCAACGCGAAGGGGTCTGGGTGCGCAGGGGCGCCGAGCTCCCTCGCGAGCTCATCGGCCCCCAGCGTCCGACCAGACCAGAGCGCACCGCGGCCGTCAGCGGTCAAGGATCGTCCAGAACGCCGACCTCCGTCGCCGAAAGTTTCTTGGCCCCTTTTGGCCGACCTGGCGGCGTCGTGATGGAGGCGGCGTGGGGGTCTGAGCTGGTTGGACCCCGAGAAACACGGTCAAGAGGGGGAGATGAAGGCAAATCCGTTCAAAATCGAACCCCATATCCCTCCCCAGGTCCATCTGATGCACTTTCACTCCGGATCCGTTCTGGGCGGTCCCGCGGGGCCCGAAAATGGCACCCAGAGACCGAAAAGGGCAAAAAGCTCGGCCCCACCCTGAACCTCGGACCCCGCCCACCCCCTCCCCCTTCCTGCTCACCTAAACTGGTGCTGGGCCACCTCAGACACCCAGCCAGCTCCAGCCATGGTGTGCATTATACGTCCGCAGACATGCGATGCCCTGATTCGTTCAAGGCGGGCTTCCTGGAAGTCCCGACCTCTTCCCCAGGGCCAGAAATTCATCCCGAGTCGTTTTTGCTCAATCCTGGAGCCCGGCATGGGCCCCAAGAGGCCTAAAAGAGCGCGGGAACCACAACAATCCGTCCTGACTTCACTAGAGCGGGACAAACACGCCATAAACATAAACCGTTGGCGCTCCGCGCGGAGTTCTTCGATCTGCGCTGGACCCCTCTCCCTGGCGTGCAGGGGGCCCCAGCGCGGATCCAAGAATTCCCCGCGCAGCGTCCAAAGTTTATGTCCATGGCGTCGTTTCGTCTTCGATTCACGACGTGGTTAGAGGCCTAGACATGGGCACCAACACCAACACAGGGGGGTGCCTCCACAGGGGGCAGATGATCCGAGATTTCGGTGCTGGTGGAAGTAGTTCGGTCACCTTGGAAGCCAGAGAGCATTACCACCCTCAGCGAGATCGGGATCTCCTTCCCTCGGCGGCGGCACACCGCCGACCCAGACATCCGACGTCTCGATTTTTTCGAGACACGGGCCTCCGACCTCGCGACCACTTCCCTGGGACCGGTTTTTCCTCCCGAGTCGTTTTTGACGGTCCCGAGGCCCGGCGAGGGCCCCGAGAGGCCAAAAACTATGAAAAACCTCTGCCTCGATTTTTTCGAGACGCCCGATGTCTGGGGATCTTGGTGCTGGTGCCGACCTCTGGGCCGGCGACGCTGCGTGCCTGGGTCGAGCCCCTCGCCGGGTGGCGGCGACCGGAGGGCCGCGGTGCGAGAAAGGGCGGCTGCGCCTTTGGATCGGGCCCCGAACACGGCTCGGCGGCTTGCCGCCTCGGGCGCTCCGAGCGCGCGGGGCTGGGCGCGGCGCTGGCCAGGGCGTGGAAAAACATGTCTCTGTGGACGCGTCGCGGCGTATAGCGCGCTGTGGCAGCTGACCGTGACCCCCCTCGCGCAGAGAAAGACTCACGACGGGGAGGCTTGCGCCATACTTGCGGCCTCCCGCGGTGCCCTCCCCGGGTCTCGGGGCCGTCAAGAGACGGCTCGGGAAGAACAAAAAAACTGTCCCCGGGAAGAGGTCCGGACTTCTGAGGGGCATGTCGTGTAAAAATCACGACGTCGAGGGTCTTGGGTCGCGGCGGAGCGCGTCGGGCCAGCTTCTTGGCGCGTCTCACAGAGGACATGTCGACGCCTATCGCAGGCTTGGACGAGTTTTCGAATGGACCACACAAACTTGGGGCCAAACCCTGGGATCCACGATGGGGGGGGCGTCCATCCTCGATAGGGGTGCGTCCGAATAGCTCTCTTGGGGTGTATCCCTAGAATTCCCCCCATTTCTGAGCGGCCAAACGTTTCGGGCGGAACTCGTGGATCGGGGGAGAATAATCGCCTGCGACAAAGGTTCCTGACCGTATGGCCCGTAAGGAGGAGGAGGAGGAAGAGGAGGAGGAAGAGGAGGAGGAAGAGGAGGAGGAGGAGGAGGAGGACAAGGAGGAGGAGGAGGTTGAGGAGGAGGAGGAGGAGGAGGAGGAGGAGGAGGAGGAGGGGAGGGGAGGGGGAGGGGAGAAGGAGGAGGAGGAGGAGGAGGAGGAAGAGGAGAAGGAGGAGGAGGAGGAGGAGGAGGAGGAGGAGGGGGCTGACTCGGGCTCTCAAGCCACCGGTCTGGACCCCATAGAGGGCCCCCTTCAGGGGCCCTGATAAGAGCCCCTTCTCTGCAGCCCTCGCAGCGTGCATATCGCCCACCCATTATCAAGTCGGGCCTGCCCCTCTACAGGGGGAATACTCAAAGGTAGTCAAGAAATAGTCTGCGGACTGTTTTTGAAGCGATTTTTGAAACAATTTATAGCATTGTTTGCGCATTGTTGTATTTTTCGTCGAACATCCCCCTGTAGGGGGGACACGCCCGACTTAAGCCCATTACGTGGCGCCCAACCCCCAAGGGAAGGGACCGCTTCCAAAGCCGCCGTGTGCAGCGCATCCCTGGCGCCCCCTCGCCAGACAGTGCCGGGGAGGGGGCGTGCCGCCGCCCCGTGGAGCGCCCGACCCCTCCAGGAAGCGGACCTCCCTGGACTCAGGGCGGGCGTGTCCCCCCTACAGGGGGATCTCGGCCAAAAAACATAAGAAATACGCAAAAAATGCCCCAAAGATAGTCGATCAATGAGTCTGAACAAAAATCGTCCCGAGACTATTTCTCGGCTACTTTTGAATCTGGCTCCTGTCGAGGGACAGGCCCGACTTAACCCTGGACGCCCGGAAGCCCTCGAGGACCACCAGAGGCGACCAAAGGCGTCCCAAACCTCCTCCGCCCTCGATGCCCCCCTGCTTCGGACGTCGCTGAACTCGGGAGCGGCCAAGAGGGGGGTGTCCAAGAAGGGGGGGGTGCAAATCATGACTGGCGGCATGTGCGCGGCCCAGCGGGGCGGCCAGGGACGTAATGAAATGAGAAGAGGCGTTTCGAAATATGAGGGAATATCATGGCCCACACAATGATATCCCCCCCCGTAATCATCACCCCCCTCTTTGCCGCCCCCGACGTCGTGATTGTTTCACGTCGTGCCCCATCGGCAGTGTTGAGGAGCCTGTTTTCCACCACCAGCACCACCATAAGTTGGATGGGGGGGAGGAGAAGGAGGGCGAGGAGGAGGAGGACGAAGAGGAGGAGGGGGAGGAGGAGGAGGAGAGGAGGTGGAAGAGGAGGAGGAGGAGGAGGAGGATCCCCCCCACTCCAACTTATGGTGGTGGTGGTGGTGGAACACACGCCCATTAAGTCTGGACCCCTTTCCGGGGACCGGCATTTTCATCCCGAGTTGTCTTGACGACGGTCCCGAGGCCCGGGAAGGGCCCCGGGAGGCCGAAACTAGCGAACAGAACTCCCGTCGCATTGTTCCCCGACGCGAGGGGATCTGGCGATGGTGGGGGGGAAAATATGCCCCTCCCCTTTCGGACCCTGCATGCCTCCTTCGGGGCCCTGTGGGGCGCCTTATCGGGGTCCTATGGAGGCTCCTTGTCTGCAGCCCTCGCTCTCCCCCCGCCCCAATCATGGCCCACCCACTCATCGCGGCCCAACAGCCCCTCGATCTTTCTCCTCCCCCTCCTCCTCCTCCTTCTCCTCCTCGTCCTCCTCCTCCTCCTCCTCCTCCTCCTACTCTTCCTCCTCCTACTCCGCCTCATCCTCCTCCTCCTCCTCCTCCTCCTCCTCCTCCTCCTCATCATCATCATCATCATCATCATCATCATCATCATCATCATCATCATCATCCTCATCCTCATCCTCATCCTCATCCTCATCCTCATCCTCATCCTCATCGCGTCGGGAGGCGGTGATGAGGCGGTGACCACTCCACAGGCAATCCTGTGTTTCTTCTGACCCGGCAGGTTTGCTTGCATGGAGGGATGAGGCGGGGCGTGGCGAGGGCCCAGAGGAGAGTTGGACTCCACGTGAGCCAGGACTCTTTTGCAAGTCTTTTCGGCCCAGCGCTGTTTGAAAAGGTAACTGGAGGGAGCGGCTGATGAACTTGCTGGAACAAAACTCGAGGCGCCCTCCTCGTCCCCGACAGCCGATGTCTTGACTTTCTCCATGCGGGGTCCCCCAAAAGCACGACCCCTTCTCGCGAGGGGCGTGAGACGGCCCCGGGCCCGGCGAGGGCCCCTATCGAGGCCGAAACCGGCCAGAGAGCGTCCGCCGTGAGGCCTGCCACGACGCGAGCAGTGTCCTGTACGGTGGCGACTCCTCCTCCTCCTTTTCCTCCTTCTCCTCCTCCTGCTCCTCCTCCTCCTCCTCCTCCCCCTCCTCTTCCTCCCCCTCCTCCCCCTCCTCCTCCTCCTCCTCCTTCTCCTCCTCCTCCTCCTCCTCCTCCTCTTCCTCCTCCTCCTCTGGGGGGGGGGGGCCTCGACGACGGCGGCGGCGTCCGCCGGGTCCACCGCGCACGCCGAGAGGGGGCCCCCGGAGAGGCCCGGGCCGCTGGCGTCGACCTGCGGGGCGGCGCCGCCGGGCCGCCGCCGCCGCCGCCGCCGGCGGCTGGCCTCGACAAGGCCCCCCTCGGGCCTCGAGCGCGGGCACGGCACGGCACGCGGACGGCGCGCGCGCCGAGTGCAGGGCGCGGGCGCCGGCGGCACGGCCAAGGGCGCGCGGGCGGCACGCTTCTCGGGTCTTACGGGGCAGCGGCGAGGCCTGGCCTCCTGCAGTGCGGCGCACTGTTTTTTTGGCACGCCCTGGATGGGGTCTGTGCAGGAGGGGTCGGAGGGCCGCGCCGTGCATCGGCGTCATCGGAATGCGGAGCCTCTGGCGCCACATCGAGCCGCATCATCGACGCGGAACGGTCTTTCGACGGCATCTGCTGGGACCCTACCTGGGAGGCCTACATAGACTTCCCAGATCCCCTCGCATCGTGGAAAATCACAACGGGCAATGTTTTACTATTTTCGGGCCCTGAGGCCCAAGACTGTCAAAGCACACATCGGGATGAAAAACCAGTCTTAGGTCGGGCATATCCTCCTACAGGCGGATTTTGAATGAAAACGAGAAGTAGTCAAAGATAGAATTAAAAACAAATCGTGCCCAGACAATTTAGCTGGCTAATTTTGAATTTTCCTTCTGTAGAAGGACATGCCCGACTTGAACCCAGTCTAGGAGAAGGTGTCAAACCCATGGAGGTCCAGGTCGTGGAGATCACCCGGCGCCGCAGGGTGTGGGACCCCTCCCTGCGCACTGGCCTTCACCTTGACGAGGAAATTGCACTGGCGACGCCTTTCTGTAGCATCGCAGGGGGTGAACACGTCATGTAATCCAAATAGAGGCATCCCAAATGGGGTCGGAATAGATGGGGTCGGAAAATCGCGCGCGTGCCGACACCAGGGAAGGATGCCATCCTCGGCCCTCGGATCTGCAATTGGAACACTTGCAACATCGCGAGAATTCACGACCAGAGCCTTGACCCCAGCATCCTGCGTCATTGTTCTAGCCAGATCGATCTATGAGGGTCCCAGAGCCCGAAACTGGGCGAAAACAACCGCTGCACAAAAAATAAAAAAATGCAACGCCAGGATCTGAATGCATTGGGACAAATCCCCTTGGGCAGGGAGAGGATGGCCTCAGACCTCCTCGTGTCATGGAAGCAAAAGCGCCACAAAAGGCTTCTGACAGTCTCCCGCCTTTTTTGCGGGGTTGGTTCCCGCAACGGGCGCGCGAACCACATTGTCATTGTGTATGGCCGCGCGCCCACCCCACAACAAAAAATTGTGGTTTCCGCCCTTCGACGTGCAGCCGCGCGCACCCCCAACATAACTAGACGACGACGGCTGCGATCCCCTGGCGCATGCGAAGATGCGAACAATTATTGCGCGCGGTAGCAGGGCCCCTGCAAGCATTGACACGCACAAAAACATTCCAGGACCTTTACTGCATGATGAGGAGTGCGCTACCCCCAAACCATCCCGTAGACACAAAGGACCGAATCAAACATGCATTCGTTCTTAAGGCTCTGTGCCACCCACGGCTTGTGCGATAGCTCTCCACACCTGCACGGGAACACTAACACTTGGCATGCGCACGCTCGGCCAACGCTGGCATTTGCAAATACTGCTGCAACAAACTCCAAGTTACGACAATCGTGGATCAACCATCCCTGCCACACGCATGACTTGACTTGAGGATGCATGCGCTCTAACGGCACTTCAAACCATGATGCGTGCAAATATGCCTTAAGAACACCAGACCTTCAGGAGCTCTGCCGGCGGCGGCTACCTAACGAACCTACGAAGAGAAAACAAGTGTTCACGGGGCTCCACTACCCCCTGGCGCACGCAAAGACGCCCAAAGAAAATACCCGTGCAACAGGGGCTCTGCTACCCCTGGCGCGCGCAGAGACTCCAGCAGAGTAGCGCTCCTGCGCCCGATATACCAAACAAAAGCGTCGCCTCCGTGTGCGACGTAGTTAACTGACGGCTGGCGCCATGCCAATTTGTCCGCCGCCCCACAGGAACATTTGCGGACTTTGTCCATCCCACCAAAGGCTCCACGCTTCACCTCCTCGCTATCACAAAAACATGCATCCCCAAAACACCCCCAGAACTCTCAACTGAAACATGCGGGCCTGCGTTGCCGAGATGTGAACTCAATCATGCCGCCGCCGCCCACCCCGGATCATGGCTCTCGCGTTGACGCTGGCCTCGCGCCGTGCGCAACGCGGACGGACCATGCGCCGTTCTTGTTAAGTCGCTACCTTGTTTCGCGAGCGCGCGCGTCATTCCCCCCGCGCGCGTGCCAGCAGCGCGCGCCGGGCTCGCCCGCGCCGCTGGCACGCGCGCGGGGGGGCGCGCGCGCGCCTGCCCCTGCGCGCGCAGCGGAGGCGCGCGCGCGCATCGCCAGCGCGCGCCAGACCCGCTGCGTGCCATGCGCGCGCGCGAAAGCATCGGTGCCATCGCGGGCGCGAGCCTGCTGGGCACGCGGAGCGCGCGGAGACGGATTGCTCGACCAGACCGCGCGACCGATGCTGCCCCGCGCCCGGCATGCCCGAGTTCGCCATGCGGAAGGCGCTTCCGCTTTTTCTGTTTGCGCGTCCTCCAAAAACATGTTCGTCGTCGCCACTCCGGAGTTTGGCGCGGCTCTGCGCCGCCAGCGGATTATGAGGTCCGCCTCCTTGTCGTTGGCAGTTGTTTTCTATGGTCTTCGTGTGTCCTCGGCATCTTGTGTTGTGTCGTCGGCCTTATATTGTTTTGTCGTCGGCCCTCATGATTGTCGTCGGGTTGGTTTTGCTTTTGTCGTCTGTTCTTTATGGTGTCCTTCACGGTCATGATCAAAGTGTTACTCGGGCTCTTCAACATGGTTGAAGTCCTTCGTGGCCATATCCGTCTTCCATACCTTTCTCTTTTCCCTCGTCCCCATCACCCCGTCCAGAAACGATGCTACAGCGTTGCTCATGGAAGATCGATTTGGTCCTCGCCCACCCCCTTCAGACCGCGCACAGTCGCTGGGGGGGCTGAGCGCTAAGAGCGTTCGAGACGCGTGACGGGCGACGCGGTGTCAATCATAAAAACACATGTATGTGATCCTTTGTTGTCTTTTGTCGTTTTGTGATGCCATCAAATTGTAGCAGATGGTACGCTGCCTCGTCGACTGCAGCAGCTGGCATGCCATTGCCAAGTCGCTCGTCCCAGGCCAGTGACGACCGTGAACCCGGCAGCACAAGACCTGGCGGCACATCGGGTTTCATCACAGCCCCCGCCTCGAGCTGCACTCCCGCCGCTCCCCCGAGCGGCGTCGCGGCGGCGACGCCACTCGGGCCGACCGCCGCAAACACCACCCTCCTCCTGTGCCCTCCTACCCTTCCCTGCCTAAGGCCTCCGGGGGGTCTCTTCGGACGTCCCGAGAGGACACTGCAGCGCCGGAAGGGATAGAAGCTGGACCCTGGGGCAACCAAAAAGTACCGATGCCATTACTCCCCGGGCCTCTCCCGGGGTGCGTTCTGACTAAAATTTCAAGGCAAATCCAGCGGTGGCGACGAGGGCTTCCGAGGAGGCCCACAAAGGGGAAAACGAGAAAAGGGTAGAGGAATAGACACCTTTTCCTCCTCTGAGATCCGGGATCCTCTATCCCTCCTCCCGCTCTCGAATGCAGTCCACGCGTTTCGAAGTAATGTCAAATCTTTATCTTAACACGCGGGGCTCTCGTCCGAATGGCGGGCCCGTAAGGGGGCGTTCGCCATTCCAATATGGGACGGATGCTTCCCGCAGAAGCCTGCGAGGAGGGGGCCTGGGACGGAATGGCGCGTTTAGAAGGAGAAGAAGAAGACCAACAACAACAACAACAACAACAACAACAACAACAACAACAACAATTACTAGCACGTGGGGACACACCGTTCTCACCAGTGCCAGGGTTTTCATAGGAGGCGGGCAATACCCCCACTTTGTGGGGGGGCCGGTTCAAGCTCTACCAAATTTCCAAACGACTCTTCGCCACCACCCACACCCAGCTTCCCGCCCTATGACGTTCGGACACTTCACTTCGTGGCATGCGGACGACCGTGGCTACTATTCAGGGCCCCGCGGCCGACGACGACGGCGTGCGCGCGCGAAGAAAAAACGAATGTGTCCCGCATGGTATTATTTGACAGGGATGATGGCCCTGGCAGGTGCGCAACCGTTGTTGCAGAAGTTCGAAGAAGTTGCTCGCAAAAGCCCGTTTGACAGAAATGTTTAAAAAGTGTTGGGTTTCCTACGAATCCGCAAGAGCGCGCGGGATGAGATTTTGACATTTTTTTGAAAAACCATTGGTTTTTTTGATGTTTGTATGTTAAAATCGCTACGAAAACTAAGGTTTTGGAAGGATTTCGTCTTGCGCGCGCGAATGTCCACTTTACCTTATTTTTTGCAAGGGATTCTTGAAGTTTGGTTATGTTAGAACAAGACATGTCCACTTTAGCTTATTTTTTGCAAGGGAAAACCGATCGTAACAACACAACCGGATCTGGATCACATCGTTTTACCTGAGACTTCCTCACGATCGCCTAGGCGCGGCGAGGGGGCCGTGCACCAGGGGTCCCAACAATAATTATTCTTAAGAAGAAATAGTGTTCAACAACAACAACAACAACACGTAAACATAAACTTTTGGCGCTCCGCGCGGATTTCTCGGATTCGCGCTGGATCCCCCTCCCTGGCGCGCGGAGCGCGCCAAGGGCGGCGCCGGAGGCGCCGCCGGAGGGCCCAGGCGCGGATCCAAGAAATCCGCGCGGAGCGACAAAAGTTTATGGTTATGTGTTTTTGTTTCTTCTTCGAGTGTTGCAGCATCGTTGCTTCTCCCCGTCGTTGCGGGCGGTCGCTGAGCGCGGCACCCCGCAACGCCGGGGATGGCCAGGAGACGGCGGCAAGCCGCGCCCGCTTCTGCACTCTGCCTGCCTCTGCTGCCGCTCGTCGTCCTGCTCTCCCCCTCCCCCGCTGCTGCTCCCCTTCTTTAACTCGGCCACCGGGCGCTCGCTCGAGCTCGTGTGAAAGAGTGTTGCATCCTCCATCGCTGGGTCCTCCTCAGGGGGCAGGATGGCCACCCCGATTATAACATCGCCCCGACACGCGAAGCTATTCGGCAAACGCGCCCAAAAAGATAGAATCCAGCGGGGCAGGGCTGTCTGAGTGAACGCCCAGGGCCGCTTTGAAAAAAACGCCAGTTGTCCGGTCTGGGTGGTTTTTCCTCCCTTGTGCGGGTAATATCTATATCCATATCCAGTGCGTTTGGAACTCTCGTGGAAGTGGCGCCACAATGCCGAGGCGCTCTGGATATGGGTACGAATCGAGCCTCTGGGGGCCAAATCTATCCACATCCAGTGCGCCTCGGCTTTCTGTGGGAGGGAGCCCGAAACTCATGCTGCAGTGGATATGGACAGAAGTATTGCCCGCGCCTTTCGGGAGTGGCCAAGAGGGGGGCGTCCAAGAGGGGGGGGGCACATCATGACCGGCGGCATGTTCGCGGCCCAGGAGGGGGGGGGGCTGGGGACGTAATGAAATGAGAAGAGTCGCCATGAAATCTGGGGAAATATCATGGCCAACGCCATGATAGCCACCCACCCCCGTAGTCACCACCCTCCTCTTTGCCAGCCCCCGAACCTCGACTGCCAGGCCTCGGAACAAATTAGCGAACACTCATGCCAAATTCATCTGTCAACGCCTCCCCCCTCCCCCCAATGTTCAAAGTTGGCAGTGGGTCTGATGAGATGCACTTCGACCGCAGTGTTTTCCGCGCGTGCCAACATTGAGTTGGGGGGAGGGGGAGTGTTCAGTAATTGTTTCCCTCTACCGGCTCCCCCCTCCCCGACGGAGCCCCCAGCGGGGCCGACCAGGACGTAGCAGAAGTTGTCCGTCATGCACGGCACCGCCTGGGCCCGCCGCTCGCGCGCGCGCGCCCCGCGCGGGGGCGGCGGGCGGGCCCTCTGGGAGCCTGGGGGGGGGAAGGAGGGGGGGGAGGGGGCTTTTTTGACTATACTTAGCTCGCTGCAAGTTAGCTTGAGCGCAGCGGCCAACAGGACTGGCACAGGCTGCACACGACAAGCCCGAGAGCATGGACGCTGAGCTGCTTCCGCTCTCGTCCCGAAAACTGTCAGGAGAGAGGTATTGGCGCTGAGGGAGGAGAGGAGAGGTATCATTACGAATGAGGAGGAGATTGCAGCGCCGTGCGAAGAGAGACATCAGCGGCACCCTGCTTCGTTGCCCATAGAAGGGCAGCCCTCGATGCAGAGAGCAGTGCGAGGCAGGAAAAAGAAAAGACCTGCCTGGGAGTGCCTTCCGAATTTCGGACTGCTATTAAGAGGGAAGAGCTGGGCGGAGGGCCAAAATGGCCAGGCCGCATTGCGGCTGTCCAAACCTCCAGGGGAGGAGATCTGGACTGAAGGAGGAGCGAGGGAAGTCATAAGAGGCGGGAGAGGAAGAAGGGCCGGAATGGCATGGCCGTGTTGCAGGGCGTACGCTGCAGCTGAGAGGCCTGTGCGGGCCGACCGCGGCGGGGAGGTGTGTGTGCCTGGGCGCTAGCCGAGACCAGACAGCAGAGACCCACCTCCGTGTGGCCCCTCACAGGCACACAGGGACCAAGGGGACCCTGCTACACCTGGACGAGGGCCAGAGAGACGAGCCAAGGCCAGTGCCGCGTTCCTCCCACGAGGCACATATGTTTGCCGCGGCCTTGCCTCAGCCGCACAGCCAAGACGCACTGGGGCATGGTGCCTGTCTGCATATATGGCACCTTCGCTGGCCGCCTTAGCCGAGAGTTACTCGGCGGGGCTGTGCTGTAGCATCGTCTACTGGCTAGGACTGTCTAGGTATTGAGCTGCCAAGGTGAACCAAGAGTATTAGGGCAGCTCGCCACCTAGGAGACTCAGCCGTGGCGAGTCTGCGAATTGCTGCGTGAGCAAGCCGATCGCTGTATAGCGAGGCTGCTAAGAAGTGCCGCGTTGGCCCCACTCATGCGGCAAGGTGAAAGGTCGAGCCCCTGATTGGCAACGACTCTTGCACAGGCCTTCCAAGGGGGGCCGGTAAAAAGCAGAGTGACTAGGTGGGCTGCCGAGGTATGTATTAGGCTGGCCCCGCCCCTGTGTGGCGCATTGTCGGTTGCATCATGGGCGCCCATCCCATATTGCCTGAGATGGTGCCGACTGGATGCCGCACGGTTAAAGGCCTTACGGGCGCTGAAAGAGTTGCAGCTGCTGCTGAAAGGCCTGTGCGGGCCGTCCGCGACGGGGAGGTGGGTGTGCCTGGGCGCTAGCCGAGACCAGACAACAGAGACCCACCTCCGTGTGGCCTCTCACGGGCACACAGGGACCAAGGGGACCCTGCTACACCTGGACGGGGGCCAAAGAGATGCGTCGGTCTCATGAGGCACTTGTGGCTAGGACTGTCTAGGTAGTGAGCTGCCAGGGCGAACCAAGAGTACTAGGCCAGCCCATCCCCTAGAGACTCCGCCGTGACGAGTCTGCGAATTGCTGTGTGAGCCTAGCTGATCGCTGTTTAGCGAGGCTGTTAAAATGTGCTGCGCTGGCTGCACTAGTGCAGCAAAGTGAGAAGTCGCGCCCATGAGTGGCGACTACTCCTGGATAGGGCCCTCTAAAAGAGGGGCCGGTGGAGAAAAGAGCGCTAGGTGGGCTGCCGAGGTAAGTATTAGGCGGCTCCGCCCCTGTGTGGCACATTTACGGTAGCGCCATGGGCACCCATCCCATATTGGCCTGAGATGGTGTCGACTGGTGCCGCAAGAGCTGCAGTGAGAGTGTGCACCTGAAGGCCTCACTGCAGCGGAATGTATGCCGGCTTGGCCGGCCTTAAATTGGAGACGCGGTGTCTCCTTTATAAGAGTTTGGCTCGATTAAAGAAGGCTTGGGCTGAATAGGTGGTGGGCTGCAGGCAAACCAGGATCGGCGCAGTGTGCTAACCCACCACCTATGCGTGAGGACTCAGCCGTGGCGAGTCTGCGAATTGATATGTGTGGGCGGCGCTCAGCCGCCTCGAATTGATATGTGTGAGCGGCGCTTAGCCGCCTCACTGTAAGCGGGAAGGGCTGGGTGCTGCTAGACTCGCGTGGCGTACAACTCAGCTATGCAGGACGGCTCGACCGACCTTGAGTTGGAGCGGCATGGCTCCAGCTGTTTAGGTGGTGGGCTGCCGAGGTGGAGAGAAGACGCTGAAAGGATGTGGAAAGGAAAGTATTGGGCGAGCCCACCACCTAAGTATGCCCGCTGCTAGTGGCGCCGAGGTCGCTTAGGACGACCTAAAAGGGCGCTGACTGATGCGTCATTAGCGTGGCTCGCTCAGGCGCTGAAGGGCGACGGGTTGAGAGTGCGGGCGGCAGCCGAGAGCGCCGAGAGACCTGCCGCTGTCGCCGCCGCACGCGCCTGGGCCTCTTGCGCGGCAGCCTGCTGCTGGTTGTAGTGGCTCCTCAGCATGGCCTCCACCTCAGAGATGGTCGCCAGGCCTGGGGTCTCGATCCACTCCCAGTCCCAGGTTTCGACGACCTGGCCGTCGATGACGTCCAGCGACTTGAGCTTCCAAACGAACGGGTACAGCATGCCGCTGGGCATCTTCCATTCGCCCGGGTAGGGAGGGCCACCACTTTTTGAACTCGCGCGTGGCGGCCGTGTATTGGGAGCCCTGCCAAGCCGAACCAGCATAGGTGTCCCCTGTGAGGCCGAAGAGCTCCCGCGTGTCAGGCGACGCCCTGCTGGCCTCGGCCGCTCCCGCCTCCGCCGCGGCCGCAGCGGAACCACCCGCGGGAGGCGTGGGCACCATGGCGGCGTGGGGCGCGCTGAGAGAAGGGGGGGAGCGCCGAGGAAGCAAAAAGAAATAGCCCATAAGCCAACGGCGGCCAGATGTGAGTGAAACCTAGCTGGCCTGTGCTAGCATCTGTGTGAGGAGGACCTCCTGACGGGCCGACTGATGCACGCCTGGCCTGGTGCGGAGTCTATAGGGATGAGGATGTTGCCGCTACGCATGTTGACCCGCAGCGCAAGGCCGGTGCGGTATGGTATGCCCGTGCCAAATAGGATCGGCCGTGCATCCATCTCCTGAAGGATGGGGAGGTGAAAAATGCGCGGCCTTTCCACAGAGGATGGCAGCCTGGTCTCCTGCCCATGGAATTGCTCCATTAGGAGCCCTACATTGATGGGCAGTGGGGACCAGAGCGAAATGGGGCCTGTCGTTATCACTACCATCCACTGCACTGCTGTAGGCGGTGGTGGCGCTGCTTCAGTGGGGGCGCAGCGGAAGTCACCGTGCTCGAACTGCGGCAAGTGCTGCGCCTCTGGGGTCGGCATGGCCTGAGGGATTAGGGTTCGGGGAGGCGGAGGATTCGAGCGAGGTGGGACAACGGGAGGCAGAATGGCCGAACCATGATCATGGCCTGGAAGTCTATAAGGATGGGGCTGCCAGCCGCTGCATCCTGCAAAAGCCTGCGAGGGCTGAGGGAGGCCTGCTCCCAGGCCCCCGATTGAAGTAGGACCAGAAAAAGTTGGTTCGGCACGTAAACTGAAACTAGCCCTATGGTGGGTGAGACACGGGCATCGTAGGGACCGTCCCCCGCAGCACATTGGGGGTAGATGTGGAGTAGGTTGGGGGAGTTGGCCTCGTGCCAGCGGCCATGCCAGCGCTCGAGTGTGCGATTAACGGCCGTGGGCAAATCTAAGTGAAGCAGAGGGCCCACGACGGAGCGCGTGTGTGGCCATGTGGGCGGCCCGCTCTCGAGCTGCCATGTGGCTTGCCACTGGGGTACCGCATTATGCTGGTACACCGTGGTGGGAGACAGAATGAGTGCGTGGGGCCTTGCGCCGCCGCTGAGAAAGCGGTAGACTTGCTGGTGAGCCAAAAGAAGCCGCTCAGCAAGATGCTTCCATAAGGAAGTCGAGCGAGAGGCTAGATGCGCGATGCTTCGCGGAGCTAATTGTTGCCTGGGGTGCACCTCAGCAGCTGGCACGCCCTCGTCTGCATCGGCGTTGTCCAGGCTACTGGGCTCGCTCCTCATGGCCTGATGGGGATGAGGCAGGAGGGGGGGCATATAGAGGAAAGAGGGAGAGGTTAGGCTTAGGCTGGGGGCTAGCTGCCTGGCAAGGGTCTAGCGCCTGGCAGCCTCTCCTCCTTCATGAGGTTTGCGCGGCCTCCTGGGCGACAGACGCTGACCGCAATGCGAGAGGCTTTCGCCATCTCGCAATTGCATCTTGAGGCGCTCCCTGTGTATCCTGTCGATACGGAGCTGGTCCTGCCTATGCTCTTCTTTGAGCTGAGCAATTTTATTCTCATGCTCCTTGAGAAATGCGCTGCGCTGTTCGTCCGCTGCTGCGGCTGACGCAGCTGCAGCTGCGACTGTAGGCGGCAGGCGCGTAGCTACATGGCCAGAATGGTGAGACTTACGAGCCTTGTGATGCCTTGTAGGAGGTGAGGCTGGTGACGAGGCCGGGCCGTGGGAATCCTGCGGGCTGCTTTGAGCCTCTACTGGATCTCGGCGCTGTGGCATAGGCTGCTCGTCCGAGGCTGCATCAGTCGCTTTGGCAGGCGAACGTGAGCGCTGTGCTGCATGGGCCGCGCGGTGCGCCTTGGCCTTGCGAGCTCTATGGTGCCTAGGGGGAGGAGAGGCTGGAGGTGTCTGCGTGCCGAGGGACTCCTGCGGGCTGCTATGTGCCTCAGCAGATTCCCTGCGTATTGGCGCAGACTGTTTGAGCGCGCTTTTGCGCGGCTCGTTGCGTAAGCGCGAATTATGGGCCGCCTTGGGGGGCTTGGCCGTGAACTCGTCCGCAAATGAGACCTGCTTGCGCTTGCGATTTGCAGAGGCGCGGGGCGCAACTGACTGTTCCGCCGGCTCTGGAGAGTCGAGCGGAGGAAATGGTGAGGAGGCAGAGGAATATGA